TGAGGCACAAATGTATCCGAGTGTGCTCCTAGCTTAGACCAGAGAGCTGAAGGCAGCATGAACCTTTTCTGGACTGAATCGCAGGGTTAGGGAGAAGGTGATACCACCCCTGACTTGCAGGAAGCCTAGAAGCTAACACAGTGACAGCGATGCCTTTAGGATGGAAAGCCATTTTCATCTTTAATACATGTCTAGTTTTTAAACTCTGCTACATTTCCATTTCATTCCTTCTTGTTGAGAACATGGGCAACACATTATTTTTCCATCAGAAAGTGGTCTTCCAAAGCTTTTGGCCTTGTATTTCCTGTATCTCCATTAATAAAACATTATCTTAATATCGCCAATACATGATAGATTTAAAATTTAGAGTACTTATGTAGAAAAGAGACAACTGGTGAGTCATTTTTGTATTTATAATAGTGCCCCAAATTAACATTAAAAAATTTAGCTATAAAGTACTATTTTGAAATGATCTGTCATGTTGATTTTTATTTTATAACTGAAACGTTTTATAAATGTAAATTAAGCATTTTGATGTGAAAATTACAACATGCAAAGACCAGCTGACCATATTTCAGGAATCTTAGTGCATATTCATGTAACATTTTAATAGCTTTTATTTTTCTTTACAAAACAGCTCTTATTTCATTAGCTATTCGTATTTCTTTTACCACTTCCATTTGGTCCCTATAAAAATATCTGGGAAAATACGTCCTCCTGTTCCCGACTAGCAATCTGTATGATTATTGATAGCAATTTATTATTTGAAAAAGTACTTGTGTAGTATTCTGAGTCTAGTATGCTGTTAGAAAGGTTGCCTGTTAGATTTCTAGATTCTTTTTTTTGGAAAATGCTACAAACTCAATACACCAATTCTAAAAGACATTAGCAGCAGAAGCGGCACAGAGGGAGTGCTATAGGGTTAGGAGTGATCCCACCATGAGAGACTTCAAGGACTGTGCAGAGGAGTAGAGTGTTTTTTTTTCAAATGTAGAGATCTCACTAAAATGGGTCCGGGACACAGGCATGAGGTGAGAAAACAGAACTCAACAGTCGAGAACTACTGGCAAGAACAGAAAGGGTAGGGAAGATGATGGATGAGCACAGGCCTCTGGCCACGCAGAATTGAAAGCCACTTGCCACTGTTAATTCATAGCCAATAAGAACTGAAATCATGCTGAAAGCGTTATTCACTGGCTGGTGCGTATCTGTGACAAAGTGAGAATAAGAACACCAGGGTTTTTTCAAGTAAAATTGATTCATTTTTGGAAAATTCTGAGCTATATGCTTGAGGTAAAATATTACTTGTTTCATAAAACTATGCTAATAGACCTTAATTCTGGTATCCCTGGAGGCAGACCCTATTTTGAGGATTTGAGTACAGTTTATCTGGGAAGTGAAAGAAATGCCAGTAAGGAAAGGCAGCAGTGAGACTAGAAAGGAAGGCAGCCAAAAAACGGAGCCAGCTACCATGGGGACTGGCAGGAGCTTAGTCCAGTGAGGAAGCTCGTGGAGCTGGGCTGTACTTACAGACTATCAGTCAGGGTTGAAAGCTGCTTCCTGGGGGGTAATTCCCTGGCACTCCTGGCTGGCCACATACACGGGCAGTGCTGGCCTTTGTCAAGACCCTCAGGTATGTCCGTGTAGGATGTGCTGCCTGGGGGAATGGGAAACTAACTGGGAGTGGCCTTGAGAGCACTTGTATTTTTACTCTTCCTTCCTCCCCTGGCAAAATGTTAGTCATTGATGTTGGTTCCCACTTACCTTTTCCAGCCCCCTCTGCAATTAAATCCCCAAGTCTAAAAGTCTGGAACACGGATACTCCACCAGCCAGGGGTCGTGTCTGTGGGCAACAGGAGTAACAGTGTGGTCCAGGAGCACTCAGAGTGCGGAGGCAAATTCCTGCCAGCCATTCTGATGGGGAAGGATGACTCCAGACCATGCAAGAGACCTGCGAAGGGATGTCCTTCCCGACCCTCGAATCCAACAGGGGCCTCCAAATTCTTGACTTCCTGATCCATGTCCGTTCTGGCACCATCTCTTGGTATGGCAACTCCCCTTAGGGAGGAAAAGGAATCATGACATACAGTTGGGACATGATTTGCTTAACTGCCCTCTTGCCAACTGCTTTAGAAACTTCTTGCTGCCCCAGCTTCCTATAGCACCTCCTGCAGGGTGGCCAGTGTTGACAGTAACTTCTGGAAAAGCGGTTATGCACCCCTGGATTCGTAGCCCACAAGATAACTCGAATTGTGTCGAAAGATGTCATGAAATGCTTCCAAATATACGAAAATACAAAGTTCACAAATTCTTTTTGGAAAGAACACATTTTGGGAAGAGTGAAGGGAGAAGTGATTGTGAAATTAAACGGTAACTCTAAACTTGTAGTATGTTCTGAAGAAAATGGTTCTTATCTGTTTAGCTTATTTGGTATAATACCTAAAACGGGCACCTTATATAAAAAAAAAAAAAAAAGAGAAAAGACTAGTGGCACTCAAGGCCACTGTTAGAAACACAGTGAAGCTCTTACCTACTGGGACAGTTCCTGCTATTCTTTGGCCTTTCAGAGGACTTGTCTTCCACAGGTATCTCAAACTAAAAAAGAAATTTACTTATTGACCAATTATTAATGTGTTAGACACTTCATTCTCATTTAATTCAATCTTAATAATTACTAAAATAACCCTATGAGATGGGCATTATTCTCCCACTCAGAGATGAAAAAGTTCAGACTTGGAGAACACAACTTACCTATGGTTAATTCAAACCTAAGCGTAACTCCAGATGCCGGCTCTTAACCATTTTCCTATCGCTTCCAATGCTAGCCCATCTTCTGAGCCTCCCCGTTAGTCTTCTACAAAGTATTAGGGACCCAATAATTCAAAAGTGATTTTCAGTCCTAATTTTTTTTAGTGTATATTTTTATACAGCAATTAATCTTTTTAAATCTTTTGAACTTTATCAATCTTGGCACTAATTACTAAAATTACTGTTGCTCTCTGAAATTGTAATCAAACCTACCAATATAGAAATCTAAGATTCACCAAGGAAATAATTAAAACCAAAATATTTTATTTGTAATAAACTTAAAATTTTTCTGTTCATACACTGGTTTTTTTCTCCCACTTCTTGCAAGGCCTTCAGAGTTCCTCCCTAAAACCAATGAGTTACCAAAGGATGGAGAAAATTATAATCTAGAGCATTTGAGTGGGCTTAGGTGTTCACTGAGTAAAAAGCAGGATGGAGTGGGGGTGGGGGCAGCCAAATGATGTTTCTGAGAAGTTAGCTCATTTTTAAAAATTGCTTTTTGTAATCTGATCCAATAGCTATTTTATCGTGCTTTTTATTGTTCAATGCACAAAATAGATGTCGATCAATAGTCAAACTTAATTTCCATCAATTAAAAAAAAAAAGTTTGGATCCCCATACTGGCTAGCTGCCAAAAAAAAAAAAAAAAAAAAAAAGGGGGGGGTCGATCAATAGTCAAACTTAATTTCCATCAATTAAAAAAAAAAAGTTTGGATCCCCATACTGGCTAGCTGCCAAAAAAAAAAAAAAAAAAGCAAAAGGGGGGAGAATTTACTAGTGACTTAAATTTAATGTGACAATTTACTTTAAATTGCTTTAAGTATAAACTGTGTGATGTTTGTATGCATGCGTAATTTAACTATAATCTTGTCCTGGGGGTAAGTTAGAAAGCATCTGAAACAGCCCATTCAGGTGGCTAGGCAGATGATTTTTTTCCACACCTGGTGACACTTTAAACAGTGTCATCTCAATCTACACCAGAGGGCTGGCTGATTAGCTTGGTTAGAGTGTGGAGTTGGTAACACCAAGGTCAAGGGTTCAGATCCCTATAACATCCAGCCATCAAAAAAAAAAAAAAAAGGATAAATCTACACCTATACTAGAGTGTTAATCAGCATGAGAGATGTTGGTAATTTTCACTGGTAAATGCAGCCTGAAAGTTAAGTGGTTGCCTAGAAAGATTTTTAGAGGCAAAATGCATGAAATGAGATGAAAAAATCTGGCAGATCCTGCAAGCTCGTGACGTTTGATTAGTACCTCAGGTGTAGAGTTCTCTTTGCTCCCTGCCACCATCCCCCGCATATTTAAGACTCTATTGCCTGATCCAACCAGGTTACTAATTCTGCTTGCAGAATATCACTGCTTCTGCTTCAGTGTGAATCTTTTAACCAAAGTGTTTGTGGGATTACTTATGAGCAAAGATGGAACTTCTCCAAGCATTCCAGAAGCTCTGCTTGTGATAAATATTGGTCCATGTCAGAGAATTCTGTTTTAGATTTGCTTTCATTGTAATATACCATCAGGTAACTAGGTTATTTAGGAGGAAACATATGGTCCTACCCTCCTGTAATAGCTGGAGGCTACCACAAAATGAACGTTTGATTGGTGAATGACTAAACTGGCCTAGACAGTTTGCAATGGTGTAGAAAAGAAATTAAAAGCCCATTCCCCCTCATTCCATGGTGAGGGTCATATTTGATCCCTGAGCATTCCCTTTAATGTAGTGCCATACTGAAGACCTCTTTACAGTCAGCAGGTGAATACAGATTTCCAAGTGCTGGATAAAAAGCAATCAGCCACTTTAAAGGCCAAGGCCATTCTCTAGTAATGTTGCTCTTAACAAAATATAGTTAAAAATTTTATACCACTTTTAATTAAAACTTGATTACTCAGAAGGATTTCAGTTTGCTAATGGTTGTATAAGTTTAAAAAATATAAATGAAAAACGGAAAGCTTAGCCAAAATAGAACTATTGCTCTAGATTTTAAGTAACTAGATTTTTAAGTAACTATTCTATATGCCTATTCAACAGGAAGTGTGGAAAATGTCACTGAGGTTAAATGAAGGGCAATTTGAAAATTCAAGAATCAACCTGAGTGAAGTTATAACATGAAATCCTAAAAATAAAACTATGGCAAACATTTTATTTGGTGTTCATGGCTGCGTCAATTTAAACAAATAAAACAACTTTGTTGAACGGATTTTTTTTTTTTTTTTTAATAGAATGACCGTGTACATGGACAACCGAGAATAGGGAAAAACCCAGTTAATGTTTTAAGAAATTACAAGTTGCTTGGATTTAAAAGAAATAGTCCAATAGATGAATAGTCTCTCATTCAACCAACATAGTACAGTGGTATAAATTTATCCTTAACACTCCACATAAAAACGAGTTCTCTCTCCTTCTACATTTAGTCATTAGTAGTCTCTAAAATGGTAAAATAACATTGAATTTATTTTAGCAAATGAAAGTGCAAGTTTGTACAGCCAGGCTCAGCAGCAAAACTGAAGAACAGGGATGAAAAGTGACAAGCTGATGGCTGCTGTGCAGCACAAGGACTCTCACGAAGGTCCTGTCCTGTGTGCCAAACAGTAAACACTCCATCATCTTTTTGTTGCTCTTAAACGAGCAAAACCAAATTCTTTTTTTATTTAAAGAAGCAGTAAATCTTCACTTCCCCCCACGTAATTTGTAATCAGGTAAGGCAAAGATAATTCCCACAATCACTGGGGAGAGCAGCAACATACAGACTTCAGAAATAGCCCTGAATCATCAGTAACATTCTCTCATGGTAACATTAGAAGGAATGCGTCTAATAAATCAAATTTGCAATGTTGTCACATTGTTCTAATTTATTTAATTAGTTTATCTGAAAAAACCTTTATAAATACAATATTTAAGAGAATGGTAAATTATTTTCTTGTTCTGAAAAAAATAATGTTTTTTCACATTTCAAAACTTTTTACTATGCTTTTGCAAAAGGAGTCGCAAGAATGAGACAGCTGGGTTTGCAGAATGTCCACGTACAAGCTGCATTTACAAGAACCTGGTAATCTGCCTCTAGTTTGCTCTTTGCAGTAATATTTAAACAGGTACAGCTTAAATACCTCCCCTATGCACTCTACTTGTAGAGCAAAGAGGTACTTATTTTTCAAGTATATTGTAAAAGGTAATTTCATTTTGCCAATTTTACAAGTTAATCTTTTAAGACCAAAATATCTTTGTGAAAACTCATGCCTAGTCAGCCCATTTCTTTTATAGCCAAATGCTCTCATCTTTTATAGAATGCAGAAAAATATTGATTTGCTAAGGAGGAGCACTCTGGAAAAAGCCATTTAAAAGTATTGAAGAATAAGGAGCATTTCTTTCTAATGGTGAAAATTATTAGAAAAACTATCCAGTCTGTTGTCTTTAGCTGGTTTTAATAAAGTCTTTTCAAAATGATGGCCAAGAAATCTTTAGAAAACTGAAGGAGGGGGGATGCTCCTTTATGGAATGAAAGGGATTCCATTAGTCGTAGAAATTCTTATTAAATGTCTGCTTTGGTTCTTCAGAAGAAATGCTCATATAACTTCTATATAAGGAGACAAAAAAGAATAGATTAATATGACATTTCTCTAAAATCTTATTTAAAGGATACTGTAGTAGTATCTTTTTTTTCTTTTGGGGGGCGGCTGGCTGGTATAGGGATTGAACCCTGGACTTTGGTATTATCGGCACCATGCTCTAGCCAACTGAATGCACCAGCCAGCCTGCTGCTAAAAATCTTATACTTCTAAAATTTTACCATGCTGTTATATACATTGTCTTATATAAGGATAGGCAATTTTATTAGGACTCACAGTCTTATATTTCAGTGAATTCTACTACTAACAGGAAAATACATCCTTTTCTTTACTTCAGCTTACTATATCATTTACTTTTCTAAACTGCATACACCTATTGTACTTTTCCTGTAAATCAGAGATTTAAACATTCATTTGTCTTGTGTCCTCAGTACTCAATGCTTAGGGCTCCAAACATATGTTGGAAGTTAAATAAATGTTTGTGGCTAAGTAGTCATGACCCAAATAGAACCCTTAAACCACTCAAGATCACAGACACTGGACTCTGTTTCCCAGAGAAGGTATGGAAAGTGTGGGAACAGTGAGACTGGAATGATCAAAAGGTGATTTAAGGGCTGGCAAGTGAAGCAGAAAAATCATCTGTACGTTCTTTCCCTCCCTATGAATCTGTGACATGCCAAAGTAGGAAGCTTGCACCAGGCATGTTTCTACCAATGTAACATTAATCAGAATGTTCTCAAAGGCTTAAGAATCAGAGGAGGGTGAGGGATCTGCAGGGAACCAGTCCTGAGAGTCCGGTTCACATCCGGCACCTGAATACCGTCCACGAGACAGGAGGAAAAAAAAAAAAAAAAAGAACCAGAAAGACCAGGGAAGGACCTTACAAGCTCCTTTTACAACCTGGAAAAGTAGAGTTCACTAAAGTCAAGTTCCACTTCCAAGGTCAGTACACTAAAGGAGAAAAGACTAGCTTCATTTGGATGAGTGGTTCAACATTGGCTTTTTCACCCCATTAAAGGTTTATTTGCCACAGGATCACAGATGGAATCTAAAAGGCAAAACAATTTTACCACAAATAGTTCTATACTGACTCCATCTAAATATCTTGAACTTGGCCAGTTCTGTTGATAACAGTATAAAGAGATGCTGGTTAATACACGAGAGTGATCTGCTCAGAAGAGAAGTCGACAAAATCCAAACAGGTTTAAAAAGAGGGAGCTTGGATTATCTCCTTCTTCTTGAGACTGATGGGATGTGCTGCTGAGCTGCTATGACCACTGAGTTAGTAATATTTGGTGTTACTCCTTATTTCTTTGGGTCCTATAAATCTATTGTTCTTTTTGCATAAAAGACCTAAGGTCAAGTGTGAATCCCAGAGACAGTGTGTAAGAGAGTCACAGGCAGTCTCAACAGCAACTACGGTCACTCAACAACGGATGGAAGACCCTTGGGCTCAGTGTGATCCTAGTTTGGAGTACTGTTCTCATTAGTTAAATAATAACTATCCAGCACATTACATTTTAAGAGCACAATAATATACCACCCAGGTTGCTAAACCCCAATAAGAGAAAAATGATTAGAGAACATGATGGCAATCTTCAAATATCTGAAGACCTGAGAAAGATGGATAAAACCCAAGCCCTTTCTTCAGTGGGCAGAACAAGGCCCACTGGTCCACAAGTTATGGAGAGGCAGCCTTGTCTTAACATGAAGCACCTCCTGACAGTGAGGGATGCCGGGTCATGCATGAGCAGAGCACTGGGTGCCGTCGACTGGATTTCTGCTCTGAGTGCGAGAATGGGAGGGCCCAGAAGTTGCCCAGTCTAACTCAAAATTCAATTGCTACAATCCATGCACAATCTTTTCCACTGTGGCTTACTTGGTTCCTCGAAGGACAAAGTGTGACCACAGTCACACTGCAGAAGATAAGCAGTTCATTTCCTCTTGGGTGTCACGTATTGCTGATGGTCACAGGAGGGAGTCTGAGGCAAGCTTACCTGTGGTCTGCTGTGTTTGAACACCATCTACCTGAGGCAAGGGTCCAAGTGTCCCTTCATCCTCAAAGGCCAAAATTGGATTCAAAGGAATTTCTGGGCTCTCGCTGTTGGTGACATCTAATCTGGATGGTTTAGATCCCATGGGTAAGTTTATAATTTCTTCAAAGTTTTCATCCTGAACAGATACACCATTTTCATTTGGTTGTTTTTCCAAATTCGGAGTACTGAGGAATTTGAAAAGTCAAAATTAAAATGTATTAGCATTAATACTGGAAAATACATTTTAAAGATAACTAAAAATTGTTTTACAATAAATAATTTTACAAGTTTACCATCAAAAAGTCAGACTAACCGACCACATCATTACTAACAAAAATGGTGAATTGTGACATATTTGTATGTTCCTTTGTTATAAAATTTATCAAACAGAACAATCGATCAATTTCAACAGATCATCACAGAAACAGCAGCAGCAGAGATCTACACATTTAACAGTTTCTGCTGCAGGCATTTTCACATTTGTTTGTCTGGTAAAGAGTCGCTCTTATGAGGATCTCTGCTTCAAAGTATCATTCCAGGGTATGGAGAGTAAATGGTTTACACAAAGTCAGTCACACAACTACCGAGAGACAGCTGAGGCTAAACACATGATCTCTTGGTCTCTGGTCCTGTGCTTTTCTCACTATGCCATTCTGTATACTCCCTGGCTATTCAAATTCTAGCCTCTCCTGGATATCCTGGCTTCCTAAATCACTTGCATCTGTAAATTGCTCAAGACCAACCTTCTTATCTTCATCCCTTAAATCTGCCTCTTCTCCCATCTTGATCCTTATTAATTCATGCTTAATATCTTGGGCTTATTTTTCAGGTACATTTTATTGGTCGTCAAATCCTTAATTTTCTATCTGTAGTTTCTCTTAAATTATCAATCTCTCCAAGGACTTGGCAGGCCTTTATGTTATATGCCTATTATTATGCCTTACAATGCAGCAAAACAACATCTAAGCATCAATTGGGTGCTAGACTAGTTTTACCATTCATTTTATTTGATTGCAGTAGTACGCATATATGTGCAGGCTCCATAATTTGTTCAACACTTAAGAAATTATCTATACTCTCATAATGCCAACTGCTTGAACTTTGGCAAGTCAGTTTGTCTCTTTTCACTGCTGTCTTTTCTCATTGCCTTCCCAAATGGTAAAATAATATCTGACCTTTCCATTGCTTTTTTTTTTTAAAGATTCTTAGCTTTTTTGCTCTATTGAAGAAATAATTTACTTTCCAGACTGAGTGAAAAGTATTGACTTTGTGGAACACATTCTAAAGAATTTCTGATTTGAATATTTTTGTACTTTTTTGTTAATTGTTAAATATTTTCTAGGAAAAAAACAGATGCCTTTCCTAAGTGTCTCATAAGGCACTGCAGGGTATACTGAAAATAGTATTTGTAAAAACATAAAAATATTATACAGACTCATGGTCTGATGGTGCTACTCTATTATTTCAGTGAGAGGAGAGGAGGCTCAGCATTGTAACAGCCTGCATGGGTTTGCTGTCACACACGAGTGTGCTGTCGCACATGTGCACACACAGCCACACCCACTTGTGCACACGTATCTAACACCTGCTGTTTAAGTGTCTGGGTTGCCATACCCATCCTCCTGTTCTTGCCCAACACCAATGTGCTTTCTGTAACCAGGCAAACACTTTTGGTTCTCAATCCAAAGAAAAGTTAAACAGAAGTTTGGGCAAATGACAAAGAACAGGAATGTATCTTAAAATGCTTTTTCCCTGGCAATCCAAACTCCCGTCACCTTCCAGGCCTGCATGTGCTAACAAGTCATAATGGCAACGGCCAACCCTAGACTTGAGTCAACAGCTTACTTCATCTTCCCCTCCCACCCCTACCTCTTCTTACTTGTCAGCATTAGAGAAATAATTGGGCCATATGCTTTGGATGACGAGTCATTAAATGCTCATGGGACATGTGAACAGGAGAAACTATAAAACCGAAACTGAAGTCACTGGGGGTAGGGATTATGGATCTGTGCGTCCTCTCAGGATGACAGCACCAGCTTTTGAATTCCCTTTCTTTGGCTACACTCTGGAGGTTGAAGGCTGGATGCAAGGCTTCTGAAAACCATGTATTTTGCTTGGTTAGTCCAAAACGTGTACAGGGTGGGGAAGGGACCATGGTGAGAATCTGACAGCCTACACAGTGTTATCAAAGCTGGGACCTTATTTTTTTCTTGATGTCTACTAATCATGTTAAAACAAGTAACTTTTTTTTTTTTCCTTTTTGTCTTTTTTACTGACCGGTAACGGGATCGCAACCCTCGGTGTCGCGCCCGTACCGGGGACTGGCAACGGGATCGCAACCCTCGGTGTTGCGCCCGCACCGCGCTCAGCCAGTGAGCGGGAACCGGTCTCCACATGGGATCCGAACCCTTGGCGGGAGTGCCGCCGTGCTCCCAAGCGGCGCACTCTCCAGTGCGCCACCAGGCTGGCCCGAACAAGTAATTTTTAAATTAAAAGTGATAGATTGCTTTGGGTAGAACAGACATTTTCACAACGTTAATTCTGAAAATGTCCATTCCATCCAAAGTAATCTACAGATTCAATGCAATCCTCATCAAAATACCAATGACATTCTTCACAGAAATAGAAAAAGCAATCCTAATATTCATATGGAACAACAAAAGAACCAGAATAGCCAAAGCAATCCTGAGCAATAAAAAAATAAAGCTGGATGCATAACACTACCTGACTTCAAATTATATTACAAAGCTATTGTAACCAAAACAGCATGGTACTGGCATAAAAACAGACCCTTGGATCAATGAAACAGAATAAAAAACCTGGGAACCAACCCACATACTTACAGCCAACTGATCTTTGACAAAGGCAACAAGAACATACATTAGGGAAAAGACTGCCTCTTCAATAAATGGTGCTGGGAAAATGGGACATCCATAAGCAGAAGAATGAAACTGTACCTGTACCTCTTACCATATACCAAAATCAACTCAAAATGCATTAAAGATTTAAATGTAAGACCTCAAACCATAAAATTACTAAACAAAAACACAGGGGAAACATTCCAGGAAATAGGACTGGGCAAAGACTTTATGAATAAGACCCCAAAAGCACAAGCAACAAAAGAAAAAATATAGAAATGGGATTATATCAAACTAAAATCTTCTGCACAGCAAAGGAAACAATCAACAGAGCAGAAAGACAACCTACAGAATGGGAGAAAATATCTGCAAACTCTACATCTGACAAGGGATTAATACCCAGAATATATAAGGAACTCAAACAACTACATGGTAAAAAAACACATAATCCAATTAAAATGGGCAAAGGAGATAAGTAGACATTTTTCAACAGAAGACATACAAATGGCCAATAGGTACATGAAAAAATGCTCAATATCAATAATCATCAGGGAAATGCAAATCAAAACCACATTGAGATATCATGTCACCCCAATCAGACTGGCCATTATTAAAAAGACCAAGAACAACAAATGCTGGCGAGGATGTGGGAGAAGTCTTTTACACTGTTGTTGGGACTGTAAATTAGTGCAGCCGTTATGGAAAACAGTATGGAGGTTTCTCAAACAACTACAGAGAGAGCTACCATATGATCCGACAATCCCACTATTATACCCAAAGGAATGGAAATCATCATGTCGAAGGGACACCTGCACTCCCATGTTCACTGCAGCTCTATTTACAATAGTCAAAATATGGAACCAACCTAAATGCACATCTATGGACAACTGGGTAAGGAAAATGTGGTACCTATACAAAATGGAAGACTACTTAGCCATAAAAAAGAATGAAATTCTGCCATTTGCAACAACATAGATGAGACTGGAAAAAATTATGTTAAGGGAAATAAGCCAGACACAGAAGGAGAAACACTACATGTCCTCACTCCTAACTAGATGCTAAGAAAGAAAAAGAGTGAAAGAAAGAAAGAACACAATAATACATTGAACTTGCAGAAGGAGAGAACAAACCTAAGGATACTAGAGATGGGGGGAGGGAGAGAGGTGGGTTGGGGAGTGATAGGTCAGGTAAGGGGAAAAAAGAAAAATTACAATTTGTAATAATGAATATGCTAATAAAAAATAAATTAAAAGTGATACATCTCTTCCTGTTGGAACAATAGGGGCCTAGGAATGTTACTTTTCCTTTAAGCAAAACAAAGAGCAATAATGAACTCACAAAAGATCGGGAGGAAAAAGAATGGGACAAACATCAAAATTACTAAAAACCCTGTATTTAAGAGGAACATTCTATTGAAGAGACAGCCCTTTAAGGTTACTAAAAAGCATAAAATGTCTTCTGGGACATTAGGAGGGTAAAATAGTAGCCTGCTATACCATCAGAGCTTTTTAGCCTCCAAAATAGATTCTCAGCTGGGGGTTGAAGAACATAGAAACTTAAAATAATTTCCTCTGTTCCCATTTAGACATTCTCCCCTGTTCACTGCACACTCCCCCTATGCACACATTTTTTTTTGCCGGCTGGCAGGTATAGGGATCCAAACCCTTGACCTTTGTACTCACATATGTACCTGTGTCCTTTGTTTCCTGTTCCAAAGCAAGTTTCCTATCCATCAATAAATATGCCCCCAATTTTATGGGAGCGCCCCCCCTCAAATACCATCTCTTAAGAACCAAACATGGCTCTGGAGTAAGAATAGACCCACTCAAGGTCATATATCCATATATTTAATATATATATATATATATATTAATATATATATTATATATAATATATAACATACATATATATAATATATATAAATATTATATATTTATATATATATACTTATTTCAAATATTTACAAATTTCATATTTTACATACGAAAATTTTGTTTCATTTGTTAAAATTCATAAAATTCACATATTTTATAAATATATTCACATATTTCTTTACATCTTTAAGCAGTAGCCAGAGTGGATAACTCACACCCTCTTCAATTCTACCCATTGTCAGTGGGGAACCTGTCAAGGGGAAAGGAGACGGGTAAGGAGGATGGCCTTGGTACTTTAAAAGGACTGCACAGCAAGGGTTGAGAGCCAGAGAAGCCAAAGGTACCATAGGTCTCATTCAGGAGTAAGGCTCAGGGTGTTTCCAGTGCAGGTTTTTTCTATGAAAAGGGATCTTAGTCCTACATGCTAGGGAAAGTAATATTAGGGAGACACTG